CATGGTACTATGATATCAATATGTCATCATTACGTCATTCAAACTTTTTTTTTGTACACAAACACACATACCATTCATAAATAGTACATACGTTAATGTAGAAAACACTACAAACAAACAAATATAAATTTCATTCGTTTAAAACAAACACACACATACATAAACATTCACACATAAGCATACAAACACACACGTATATAAACCATAGAATATAAGTATAGAATATTCCTTCTATATCTACATTAAAAACAATTTGAAAATTTAAATATTCCATGGTTATATTTTTTCGTATAAGTATTGTATTTTTGTATACATACAAAGAAACATACATACAAACATACATGCTAACATGCAAACACACGTACATACTAACATACAGACAAACATACATATACAAACATACATTCTTACATTCAAACATACAGACATACATACAAACATACATACATACATGTATCTTTTAGTTTCTGCAGCACAATAAAGGCCGGTCATAAATATATCTTTTGTCATAAAAATCACCAATTTTTTTACAGCCTGTGTTGGCAAAATTTAATTTGCTAAAATAAAAACATGGTTCTTTATGGTTTTGTGTATGTATGTATGTATGTATGTATGTATGTATGTATGTATGCATGTATTTATGTATGTATGTATGTATGTATGTATATACCCGTCAAATTGTATTCCCTAACCAGTTTGGTTCGGTCAACCTGATAGAAAATGCAGAAAAACAAAGAACTTTTTTTTACAAGCAATTCTTGAACAACAACAACAACAACAACTAAAACAACAGCTACAACAACAACTATAACTACAACAACAACTATAACTACAACAAAAACAACTACAACAACAACTACTACAACAACTACAACAACAACAACTACAACTACAACAAGAACAACTACAACAACTACTACAACAACTACAACAACAACAACTACAACAACAACAGATAAAACAACAAGAACAGCATTAATAATAATAATAATAATAATAATAATGACCAACTGCAAAACAAGGAAAAATAGTTTTTGTTATTTATACCAGCATTATTTTTTGGTCTTTTGAAGAACGATATTGTGTATGGCATGTATGCATGCATGTACAAATAAAGTTTTTTTTGCAACAAACGTACACAAACAGACATACACACACACATGCATACACACACACACGCATACACACACACATACATACATACATGAACACGCGCAAATACAGACAGAAATGTTTAAATACAAATTTTTTTTTCAAAACGTCAACAAACACGTTTTTTTATAATATTAAAAATTATTTAAAATGAAAAGTTAAACAAACAATTTAAATAAATTTTCAAAATGTTTGAATCAAATGAACATACTGGCAAGTAAATTAGTCAAAATAAGACGTTTAAAACTATTATATACAATACAGCATGATACTCTAAATGAAAAACACTAAATAGCATTGGAGTTTATCGCCTGCTTAGTGGAATTCCCCATGCTCATATTCACCACAGTGTCTTTTCCAATTTTGAAAATGTCTTGTCAAAAAAAAACCTATTTCCATCTTCTCAACAACTCTATGTTATTGTTTCAGTAGCTAATTTTTTGCTTCGAAGACTGCACAACTACATATGTCTACATGATATTTTGTGGTAGTTGGTTTGTCGTCTTTGCCTAATGTTTCACGGTACTTTTTGAACCTTTCGGAAAAATTTTTACTAGATGTTTTCTTACTTTCGCTGGTTTTTTGGCTTCAGGCTTCACATTTTTTGATAACTTTTCTGTATTTATCTCTCTTGCTACAATACTTATCACATCAATGTTGGAGTTTTTTCTTTTTTCTATTTCTTCTCTCTTTCTCTCTCTCTCTCTCTCTCTTTCTGTCTCTTTCTTTCTCTTTCTTTCTCTCTCTCTATTTTCTATTAAATATAAATACGCTTTTAATTAATTTGAAAACAAGCAAAGATACAAACATACAAAGATGAACACACACAGACAGATACAAACATACAAAGATAAACACACACAGACAGATTCAAACATGCAAAGATTAACACACACACACACACAAACAAACAGACTTATCCACACATACTCACACATCCAAAGACTTACAAAAATAATTTAACAAAACAAAAGCTGTCAAAACGAGGCAAAAGATTCGCTCCATCAGAACTGCCTAACAACTCACGGTTGCAATTTACATTTCACGCATACAGCCTACAAAAAAATTGTGTTTGTATATTTGTATAACTAAGCCGTTAGCTGTTCGAGATGTATAACCACACATGTGTGTGTGTGCGTTGTGTGTGTGTTGTGTGTGTGTTTATGCTTTAAAATTTGTATGTATGTAAAATAAACAAAGTAAAGAGTAATAAACGTCTTCACGATCAGCATTACAATAATTAAGTAAAAAAAAACAACAAACATGAAAAGAACATAGACACAAAAATGAGTAAACAACGAACACGAAACCATAGAAAAAAAGTAAACAAAGAACTAAAAAAAAGCATAGAAAGTATAGCCAATAATGAACGCTAAACAAAGCCCCGTAATACAAAAATAAAGAAAACCATCCAATACGTCAAAGGACGCAACAAAGACGCAAACACACACATACACAGACACCCATATACTCGCACACACACACAAACACACACACACACACACACACACTTGCCCTTTTAGACCCCAGCCAACGTTTACTTGCGTTGCTAATGGCAACTAGAGTTGCATGGCAACGCTAATAAAGATGGCGGCCGGCCGCTGCTTTAATGGCCGCCATTTTGTTTTCTGGTCACGCGCTAAGCCACGTTGTTGATGTGTTTGTGAGGGTGTGTTTGTTTGTTTGTTTTGCTTGATCACGTCACGTGTGTGTGTGTGTGTCTGTGTGCGGATATGTGTGCGTGTATGCGTGTGTGTGTGTGTAGGGGATAGATGGGAGATGTTTAATACCTCCAGGATGAATGAAATAAATTAAAATCAATTAAGTTAAAATAAATTGATGTGAATTAAGTTATTCAATAATTGCCTCATTTATCTCAATTAACTTTTAAGAAAAAAGAAAGAGACTAAATCGAGTATGAGCACCATTGGTATTTTATTTTAATTAATTGGCAGAAGCTTTTCAGGTTAATTTACCATTCGACTTTATTTTCCTTCATTTTTTAAAATTCCCTTGTTAAAAATAATTATGCTGCTACTACTACTATCATTACCACCATGAAGAAAAAAAGAAAGAGAGAGAGAGAGAGAGAGAGAGAGAGAGAAAGAGAGAGAGAGAGAGAGAGAAATCGCAATTTGCTATAAGTTGAAGTAACGTTAGATTAAACATTTTTTTGTCTTTGCAAAATAAATTGGAAAATAAACATTTATTTTTCTTTGCTGTCTGTTTTTTCATTTACTTGTCTATGTATTTTGGTGTATATTGTGATCTTTGTTGGGTGTGGTTTTTCATTTTTTTCGTCTTTGATGTTTGTGTTTTTGTATTGTGGGTATTTTTTATTTTGGTTTTTCTGTATATTTATCTATCTATGATTCTTTCATCTATCTTTGCATAAGTGTTTTTTGTTCTTTGTTGCCAGTTTATTTTTCTTTTCTGTTTTTTAGTTCTTTGTTTGTTTTCAAAAGTAAAATAGATGTAATTTGAATATAATTAAATAAAATTTAAATAATAACAAGGAAAACTATTATTATTGTTGTTGTTGTTATTATTATTTGACAAAAATATTTATTACTTTTCTGAAAAACCATTCATATTTTATTTCGCAAATTTTCATTCGAAAGCTTTCAACATTAAAATGTAGCTGTATGCTCGTTTTGCATGTGTTTGTGTGTTTGTATCTTTGTATATGTAACATGCATACAAACAGACATACAAAAACATACAAACATACCAGTTCGATAAACTCATTTCATTTAAATAAATTAAAAGCATCACATGTTGAAACGCTCCTTGTCGTCTTACTTTCCTTATGCATATAAACAAACAAACTGAACCATACAAACAAGCAAACATACACACACTTGTACAAAATAATACACAGACATAGAAACACATGCATACCTGTGTATTCAACAAACCTTCAAACCTGCCAACGAAAGAACCAATGTATGTGTGTTTGTATGTTTGTTTGTATGTCTGTATGTGTGTTTGTATGTCTGTTTGTTTTTATGTCTGTATGTGTGTTTGTATGTTTGTTTGTTTGTATGTCTGTTTGTTTGTGTGTATGTGTGTTTATTGAGGAACGTAACGTAGCAACCAAATTGACACCAGTGAAAGAGCTATAAAAATTCCTTCGAAGACATTAACAGCTTGGTGAACCCTTACATACCTTCCCACGTCACATCTCGCCATTGTCCGGCTGTCTTGATGATGTCATTTAGGGTATTCTGGGGAGGACCTTAATGTATTTTGAGATACTTGGATCGGGTTTTAAATCGGTATTTAATTCGGTTTTTAAATCGGTTTTCAAATCGGTATTTAAATCGGTATTTAAATCGGTATTTATTTAAATCGGTTTTTAAATCTGTTTTTTAATCGGTATTTAAATCGGTATTTAAATCGTATTTAAATCGGTATTTAAATCGTATTTAAATCGGTATTTAAATCGGTTTTTAAATTGGTATTCAAATCGGTTTTTAAATTGGTAATTCTTGTTATCAGGTATTGCTACATTTTCGATCACGATTTTGTGATGCTTCTACAAATTTCTGCGGTATCTAGTCCGGTATTTTATGTTGAATTTGAAGTTTCAGCTCTGTTGAAATTTTATGCAAGCTAATGGTATCAACTCCACACTAATAGCGTGCATTTTACATATTCCATTCCTTACACACGCACACACACACACGCACGCACACACACACACACACACGCACACACACACACGTGTATTGAGATTATATACATTTCCCCACTATGTTTTTGAGATGTTTGGCCTCATACAAATTTTTTCGTCATTTCCGTTGGTTTAAAAAAACTTGAAAACTTGTTCTGGTTAATGATGGCTG